CAATTGAGTTGCATTATACTGATATAACAGTATAACAATCAGTGTCTCCAGCTCTGTGAATGCACAGCTTCCATTTTTTAAAAAAAGTAAATCTTTAGCCCCTCTTGTTGCAGATATGCCTTTCCCTTATATCTCCACAATAAAAGAGACTAAAGACATTTTAACAAAAAGCTGGGAATTCAGAGAACTTGATACACACATTGACAATATCTCCCTATATTATAAAAGTCTTTTGGAGGTGGCACTCTCCAGAAAATTCGACACGCTTCAGAATTGGTTGGTGCCCTGGAGTGTCACTCTCAGGGCATCTGTCTCCCCTGGCTGCATTGCTGCCTCCCTTGCTGTGGTCCCGCCCACAGAGGCGGCACCTGGCATCTCAGCCTCACTCTCCTTGCAGCGGGTGGATGGGACAGACGCTCTGGCAGCTGAGGACTGGAGCTCGATCGTGCCTCCGCTGCGGCAGTCGTCCTCACCCCAGTGCAAGTTGCCTGCCGGCCTGCATGCAGCCAGATGATGGACGGGACAGGCGTTTAAGTGGGGGGGCTCAGCCTGAGCCTCCCGCTGTAGCCTGAGGTTGGCCACAGGTGGCCGGCCGGGCATCCGCCGAGACATACCAGCAGGGAAAGGCCTCTGGCAGCCCCCACGTCACCTCTCCCCACTCATCCACTCAGCAGGGACGGGCCTCTGGAGGCCCTTGCACCAGTTTTCCCCACTCATCCGCCAAGCTGCCCGGGCTGGGACAGGCCACCGGAGGCCCCTGTGCCACCTCTCCCCGCTCACCCGCCGAGTCGGGTGGGGGAAGCCCTCCAGAGGCCCCGTGCCACATCTCCCCACTTGCCCTCCGAGTCGGGTGGCCCTCTGGAGGCCCCCGCACCACCTCTCCCCGCTCATCTGCCGAGTGGGATGGGGGGAGGCCTCTGGAGGGCCCCGCACCAGCTTTCCCTGCTCGCCCACCAAGCCGCCCGGGTGGGGACAGGCTGCCGGAGGCCCCTGCACCACCTCTCCCTGCTCACCCGCTGATCCAGGTGGGGGGAAGCCCTCCAGAGGCCCCCGCGCCACCTCTGCCTGCTCGCCTGCCAAACGGGATGGGGGGAAGTCTCCGGAAGCCCCTGCGCCACCTCTCCCAGCTCGCCTACCAAGCCAGACCGGGGGAGGCTGCCGGAGGCCCCTGCACCAGCTTTTCCCCCTCATCCGCTGAGCTGCCTGGGTGGGGCCAGGCTGCCAGAGGCCCCCACACCACCTCTCCCCACTTGCCCACCAAGCTAGGCAGGGGAAAGCCCTCCAGAGGCCCCCGCACCACCTCTCCCCACTCATCCGCCAAGTGGGGTGGGGGGGAAGCCTCTGGAGGCCCCCACGCCACCTCTCCCCACTCACCCGCTAAGCCACCTGGGTGGGGAAAGCCCTCCGGAGGCCCCCGCCTAGGGGAGCAGACACTGCCAGGCACCCTGGCCCGCTGGGGCCTCTGCTGCCAGTGGGGTTTGGGGAGGGCGTGGCCCCCCGCCGGGGTCTCAAGCCGTGAGGGGGAGACATGAGGGAAGCCGCCACCGGCCGGCCTGCCTAGCATTCGTTGTCTTTATTGCCACAACGGGCCTTCTTCCTAGTAGCAATATAATGATAATCAATTTCTGCATTTTTTAAAAAAAGTCAAAGTCTCAATGGCCATGGGGAGGGGAGTTGGCTGCTGCTGTGGGACTAGTGAAGAGGAACTGCCAGGAAACCTCCAGTGTGGCAACCCCGTTTCCATTGCACTGTATCAGCAACCACAACAACCACAGGGAAACCACACAAGCCTGCCCTCGTGTGGAAACCAACCTGGCCAGAATCTGGTGAGAAATTCCACTAGACAAAGTAGTCTTGTCATTGTGTAACATGACTTTAGGGCCTTTTTGAACTGTAGTGCCTTTTTATTTTTATTTTATTTTCTTGCTTAAGATCAAAGCTGATTTTCCCAGTTAACGGAAGGCAGTGTTCTTAAATACACTGAATAAGCAGCTGACAACCAGCTTCCCTTGACAAGGGTGGGGGGACTGGAAAGGTAGTAAAGGATACATCAGTTACAAAGGATCTTAGAGGGAATCATTCTTGACAGATATGAGGATAATATAATTGCTCAAGATGAGCAGATTTTCTTTTATCCTGATAAATCACTTTTGGATAAAAAAGACTGGAACGACAGGTGCAAAAGAATGGCATGGGTCTGTTTCTGGAGTATTTACATAATTTTATATAAAGGAGTTCTGAAGTGTGAAGTGTAAAATGAATGTGTTGAATTCTGAGAAAGAGCACATTACAGAAATCAACTTAACACTCCCTCCCCAGCTATGAAGTTACTTAACATTTCATGAAATACATTTTGCATGTTGAAAAGGGGGTATTGATTTTTATTCGCAAAATGCTGAGTGGGCACTTTGAAGGAAGTGGAAGACCCACGACAATTACTAGCCATTTGCTTCTTTTATGCAAAGAGGTTCATGCAGCTGCATCGTGAATGCTTCGTGTATGAAATTGCCAATGGGGGCATCTCTTCAGGACATCACAGATGCTAGATGAAAATGATAGGCCGAGATTGCTCGCCGTACTCATCCACAGACTTAGGGATTCAAAAGGTCTTGGAATTGTGTGGCATGCCAGGCATGTTGATGGAAGCTCATCATAACAAACAGGACCTTGAAACATCTGTATTGTGTCACTCAGTGACCGTACTACCAGCTGTGATGATGTTATGAATGGTCATTGTGCTTATTTATTTTTGACTAAAATATTTATGCATTGCCTTTCCTCTTGACTCAAGGCAGCTTATGTACAGTTGAATTTTGTAAGGAAATATCTGTCTTCCACTTAATGGCTCCTCCTTAACCCACAGTTCACGGGGGGGGGGTCCCTTCTACTCTGTTCATGTGTGTATCTACAGACTATGGTTTCACTTCACGCATCTGATAAAGTGAGCTCTGGCCCAGAAAAAAAATGCTTCAATAAATCTGTTAGTCTTTAAGATAACACCAGGCTGCTTTTTCTTTATTATTTTAATTGCAGTTTTTAGTAAAGTCCTACTATATTGTAATCTGATTTATTTATTTATTTTATTTGTTTGATTTGTATCTAAGTTGCTTTGAGAGCCAGGTAGGCCGAAAAATGGAGTTCGTTTGTATGGAACATGTCCAGAGGAGGGCAACAAAGATGATGAGGGATCTGGAGACCAAGTCCTATGAGGAAAGGTTGAAGGAGCTGGGTATGTTTAGCCTGGAGAGGAGACGACTGAGAGGTGATATGATAACCATCTTCAAGTACTTGAAAGGCTGTCATATAGAGGATGGTATGGAGTTGTTTTCTGTTGCCCCGGGAGGTTAGACCACAACCAACGGATTGAAATTAAAAGAGTTTTTGGCTAAACATTAGGAAGAACTTCCTGACAGAGCAGTTCCTCTGTAGAACAGGCTTCCTTGGAAGGTGGTGGGCTCTCCTCCTTTGGAGGTTTTAAAACACAGGATAAATGGCCATCTGACAGCAAAAATGATTCTGTGAACTTAGGCAGATCATGAGAGGGAGGGCAGGAAGGGTTGCCTCGGTACTTCATTCCTGTGGCCCATTCTGACATGCCCAGGGAAATGCTGATCGCCATTTTGGGGTCAGGAAGCAATTTTTCTCCAGGCCACTTTGGCCAGGGATTCTAGAAGTTTTTTGTCATCTTCTGGGCGTAGAACAGTGGTCACTGCAGGTGTGGAAGGGGAGGTATTTGTGAATTTCCTGCATTGTGCAGGGGATTGGACTAGATGACCCCGGAGATCCCTTCCAACTCTATGATTCTATGAAAGAAATAAAAAGAAAGGAGGGTGTGAAGAGACTATCCCACACCAAACAACACAGGTAGATATTCCATATAATCTGAAATCAAAACTTTTTGATGGAGTCAAGAGCTTTTCTACACAAAGTTATCACTTGATTACTGTAGCATCAAGCAGAACTTTCATGTAAAGACAGTCCAATCCACATGTTCTCAGATACAAGGCAGAAGAGTTACTCTGCCCAGTCAGCAGTGCATGTGTGAACTGTGTATGGAGAAAGGTGAAAGAACTAGTTAGATGTCCATTAGTGAGCTGGGACTACCATCCCTATTGCGGGTACCACAGAGGATTTGTTTTAACCTTAATAGTTTAATGTTTAAAATATACACTTCTTGTATCTGCAGTACGATGCCATGGTAATCAACATCATTATATATTAACTTCTTTGTCCTTGTACAAATGCCCAACATGGTATAAGTGGGAGCCACGACACCTACCACTCTTTTTTGCTCCTGGTGCCCAATTTGTTTCCTTAAAGCAAAGAGCCAGTCATGGCTTTCCTCCATTTCATTGGAGCAGGAGGTGCTTCAGAAGAGCCCAGAAGGCATCTCCTTTGTTTCTACAGGAAAGACCCATTCAAAAATAGCCATCTCCATCACAAGAGGATGGTGTGCTTTTGTAGAAATTTCCCATGTTTTGTAATAGGATTCATTTTGTTATGACACCTACTACCAGTTCTCAAAACGTCAAACAAGCCCATAGGTTCAACATGATTGGGGACCACTGTCATATAATCACACAATTTTCTAACATGGGAATGGGCACACACACTCCACAGAAGAAGAATACAGGCATTTTACTTCTCTTTGATAATTTAATAAGAATGAAGACCAATCAGTAATGCTTAGCTTTAAAATAACATGAAATTAACATAACAGTATAGTACATGTCTATCTGAAAATTTACCCAGCACTGGAATAGACAAAGTAGCTGTTTTCTACATTAACCTTATCTACAGGTGAAACAGATACTTCAATAGAGATGTTCCTATCCTGACAAATGAAAATGGGCTACAACACATTATTGTCCTCAACTTTATTTTGCTGATGATGGCAAGCACCCGCGTTTGAGTTACTGTAATGCTATCTGCTGTGACTGAGGTGTCTAATAGTATCATGTAAACGTATGGATGAAATTAGTCCTTGACAGATTGCTCAGATATTTGAAGCCCATTCTCACCCATGCTGGGCCACCACTTACTACAACTTTACCAGAATGGTGTAATCCTGTAGCCAGATTGCTAACTAGCCCTAGAGCATATGGGGTAAGTACACAAATTGCATGTGTGTGTGTGTGTGTGTTGCATTAGTTTGTAGAGCTGCTATAGTGATTTTTTTAAGTTAATAGAAAATAGGAATTAGATTTCAGCTTCCCCTCAACAGAAGTTTATTCCTGCCAAGTCAATATTCAATAGTAAATCAATAGAGAAAGGCTCTGGTCTAAAATCGCAAGTACAAATATTGACAAATGCCTTCTGCATCTAATAAGGGAACTCCATAGTAACGTATCATCTAAAATTAGAGTAAGTGTCTCAGGTTCCTTGACAGATAGTGAGGAATTTCAGACAGGCGATATATTCCGGTTCAGGAACGGTTCCCAAATGGTTTCTGGTCTGACATTTCAAACAGAACCGTTTTAGAACCGGTTCCCTACCGGAATATATTTGTACTTTCACACACAAACGCTTCTGTCCCATTCAGGAAAGGGGGCTGAACCGTTTTACCTGTAAACCACTTCCAAGTAGTCTTCAGTTTCTTCTCCCAGATCTGAAATGCTTTTTCCCGCCATTTTTCACCCGCACGGGCGATCTCCGGGGTTTTTTTAACATTCGCTTTAGAGCGCTATAGCGCTGTAGCGCTATTACACAACAACAAAACAGCATTATAGCAACCCCATTGGAATGCCTGGAGTGTTGTGTTATAGCACTATAGCGCTCTAAAGCGAACGTTAAAAAAAAAGGCAGAGATCGCCCGTGCGGGTGAAAAATGGCAGGAAAAAGCAGTGCAGTCTGAAATGGCAAATCAGATCCAGCTGTTTTCTGGTAGGGGAAAGCAATGTGTGAAATGGCAGCCCTATACCGGTGTACTCCACGACGGATTTAAAACAGCTTCAAACCGGCTTAATAAAGGGTAATGTGAAATTCCTCAGTATCTCAGTAGCCAGAGGCATGAAACAGGGTAGCGTTCTTGTGCCTCCTCCTTTTTAACCTTTACATTAATTACATCACCAAGAGGCTTTCAGGCTCTGACCTCTTTCCTCCCCACCTTGGCTCACAGAAGATTTCAGTCCTTCTTTATGCTGACAACATGGTTCTGTTGTCCATAACTCGCATCGGTTTAAGAAGGACGCTGTCCAGGCTTAGTGACTTTTGTAAAGAAGAGCTTTTAAAAATAAACTGTTTGAAGACCAAGGTGATGGTTTTTGGAAAACAGCAGTGTACTTCTCGCTGGTCAATAGATGGGACCCCAGTCGATCAATGCCAAACCTTTAAATATCTGGGTATCACTTTTAGTGACACACTCTCCTGGAAGGCACATACAGAAATTATAAGATCAATGGCCCTCCAGCCAATGGGGGCAATTCTTAAATTTTACTGTTCCAAAGGGGTTTTCCAGATAGACCGGGCCTTAAAGCTCTTTCAGAGTAAGGTAATTGCCCAACTTCTGTACAGTTTGGAGGTTTGGGGATGGAATGATGCCCGATTGCAAACTTGGAGAGAATCCAAAACCTTTTTTCTGAAAAGGTTATTAGCACTACCTTCAAATACCCCAGTTGCATTGCTGAGAGACAAATTGGGCCTCCCTTCTCTTCAGGCACGGGCACACAAAGCCCCTTTTAACTATTGGCACAAATTTAAGAGAGCCCCAGTGATCATATTTAATGAATTTGTTTCTCTATAAGTCTAAAAGATCCTAAATGGCAATGCAATTATAACAAACTCCTTCAAATATATAATTTGCCAGATGTGGTCTGAGTAGCTTTTCAGGCCGATTTTAATGGTAGGGTGCAAATATACACACATGATGCTGCTTTAGATTGGCAAGTCATACTAGAAACCAAATTTTCAACCTGATATAAATCAATTAAATTGGATCACCTTTCGGCACAATATCTGTCCAAGATTTCCTTTTTAAAATTATGCTCAGCTTTTACATCCATTCACCGTCAAACAATGCAAACAGCTATGCTCGAACACCTCTGTACCCAAACACCAGTTGCTCAGCGCCTCTGCATATTTGGAGACCCAGATCCTGAACTCTTTATTTTTCTGGTGTCTTCTTAAGCTAGGGTCTGGTTTAAAATGAGCCTTAACCAAGGAAGTTATACTCATTTTCTGGGAACAACAAATAAACAAACTATGATCTGGATACATAACTCTTCCACTGGCTTGGTTTGGACGTGACACAAAACCAGAGTTTAATTAAACTAACTGTGGTTAGCGTGGTCTTTCAGAACCCAGGCTGTTCCACTAATTATTTTTCATTAGCATACATAAAACCAGATTCTGAAACTATGGCTTGAAGCTGGACACAGTTAAGCATAATTATGAGTTCACATGATGTATGGATGCTGATATTCTGGTTTAATCCTGGTTTGTTCCCCAGCACCATCTTTGCTGCCATGTAGGCTGGAATATCAACCAGGTTTATGCATCCAAATATACCCAAACCCCCAAAATGTACCTCAAGTAGTATTTTGACTTGGCTTAGTTATATCTGAACACCAAAAAACCCCTACTCCCAGAATTCCAGAAGTAATGAAAAGTTACCTCCTGGAATGCCAACAGTGCTTTGAGGGCTGGGAAGGGAGGTTGACTCCCAGAGTCTTATGAAGGCTTCCAGAGCCTCAAGAAGCCTTCTTAAACTGTTTATAATCCCATGGGCACTGGGCCAAGCCTTGAAAGAATACAGGCAGGCCAGGTAGCCATTCCTTGCCAGCTGTCGGGAATTGGGTGGGCTCTACCATGAGAAGGGCCAGCCACTGCAATGAGGACCTGGCTGGCAAGGTATATCCTGCAGCCGCCTCTTCCTTTTTCATTTTAAAAAACTGAAGTCCAATAAGGGCTGGGAGGGTGGACGCCCTCCTAAAATTCCAGCGTAACAAAAATCATGTCCTGTGGGGGAAAACACAAACTGAAATGAAAATGGTAATTTTTGAAGTACACACACTTAATACCAAGCACAGCTCTTGGGGGAGGTGGGGAAAGAGCAAAGGTAATAAAGCCAGCATTTGCTGAGGCAAACCAGTATGTGATCATCTGCAAGTGGAATCCAGGTTTTGCAAACTAACCACAGTTAAAATTCACCACATTTCCACATTATGTTTGAGGCAAGCCAATGGGCACATGCAGATCTTGTGCTTGCCAGTTCACTTTAATGGAAAGAATAATTTCATGTGCAAACCTCTCAGACCTTATCCAGTGAAATGAATGGGAAGACCTTTTGCATGCATGGATACTCTCTGCACACATCCAGACTTTTGCACAAAATGGGTTTGGATTTCGGTGCATGCATTGGGGCTAAGTTTGATGTAGCTCCACATAAGATTATTTATGGTAAAAATGTTAATCAGTTTTTTTTAACCATCTTAAAATGGTGTTCATTGTACGGAGCCAAAGAGTGAGGTTTTTAATTCCTAGGTAGTCTCTTTCCCCTTTTCTGTTAAGATAAGGCAAATTTATCTGATACAGGAATTCGATCAGCTGTCCAAATCAGATCCAGCCCAACCTATCATCTTGTGGGACTTTTGTCTTTCACTGATGAGTAACATTTGTTTTCATTTTTCTTAAAAATAAATGTAGGAGCAACTGAAGGACGATGATGTGGACTTTATTATCAATAACGATGAACTGGCAATAAATTGTCCAACCTCAGACTTTTCTCCAATGCCAGCGCAGAGCTCAGGAGACGCACCCCACCCTCCAGGCAAAGAAAACATTTATGAAGGGGATCTTGGCTTAGGAGGATATGAACTCAAATCTGAACCTACTCCATGGGAATCGTCAGCCTGAAGTCCAGTGAAAATATATATATGACAAGCAGCACAAGAAGGAATGCAAGCCATGCTTATTCTGCAGAGTTAGCAAGAAGCTAAAAAATGTATAAAGGGCATAAACTGAAAAGAAGTACAACTTTGCTGAATCTCTCCCTGAAGCCTGGAGCAATGAGAATTTATTATCATCCCATATATTATGCATCTACAGTTAATTTTTCTGACAGTGGGCATTTTTAATAACAGAATAGAGGGAGCTGCCTATATGCCAATGACATATGCACTCATAGGGCTGGAACCTATGATTCCCTTCTTCTAAGCTGGATCCCATGACTCTCTCCCAGTAAGTCTTCCTTCAACAGAGAAAGACTTCCTCCAATGGAGAATAATTGTTTTCCAGTGAAAGAAGACTTTCCTCCATCAGATGAAGCTTTTCTAGGCTGAAGGATGTCTTTCTCCCTTGGAGGAAGATTTGACAGAGGGGAGTGATAGGATCCAACCCATCTTCTCTGATCAGACATCATAATTCCCGGTCCAATCTCACATATGTACAAAGGCCTTTGAATATTTTTCTTCTAATTCATTCAGTAGAGGGAAGCATAGGAACTGAACTGGCTACTCCATGCTCCAAATAGCATCTGTGGCATGAAATGGACTGTTCTTCTGTAGAAGCTGATAGGTTTCTTTTCCCATCACCATTACAGAGCATTAGGATTCTTTCAGCATGTGGTGTTTTGCTGATAAAGGGTTAATAATATAGTGTACACACACACAAAAAGAAACCCTAGGCATTGATATATGAGCTGCTGAAGCCTAAACAGATCAATAAGAGAGGCACTTGATATTATTATTGTGATTGAGCATGATTGCTGGTGTAGACAGCAATTATGCTTTCTTCGCCAATCCATTTGTCGCCACTCCTGTGCAGTAACTTCATAATGCAAAGTTGTGTGCTGACGTTGAGCAATTTTTCATCAAATTCTCATGTTCAGTTATTACTTATGGAATCTGTGTATGTACAAGAAAAACAGAAAGAGAGAGAGAGATTATACATTTAAGAATTATAAAGTAAGGTATGTAAAAAAATTGCCCACGTTCTAGCATCTTAGTGAAGAATAAAACAGTCTTCGACAGTCTTAGATGCATGACCATTCTGCACTCAGCATGGAGAAAAGGTCATCTGAATCATCCATCATGAGCACATAAACATCGCTGCTCATTAGAAAAGGCTGTGGTGGAGCTCTAAATACCGCAATCCTAAACAGAGTTATATCTCTAAGCCCATTGACTTCCATGGCCTTAGAAGGGTATAAATGTGCTGAAAGAACAACTTGTGCTTCTGAAGAACTATTTGAATGGCCTACTAGTGGCATGCAGTGAACAATATGGACTGAGAGTAATGGATAGGGTGATTATTGTTAAATACATGCTATGGACAGGGCTATTTTTGGGCAGGACCGCACAGGAATGGAGTTCTGGCTGGCTCCTGGGTTGGCCACGCCCAGCAGGAACTCATTAGCATAATAGGCCACACCCAATAGCAGAAACTCATTAGGACTGGCTACATTAGGGCCTAATGTGTGGCCTAAGATGCAAAGGAGTTCCTGCTACAAAAAAAGCCCTGGGTTTTGACAACAAATAAGGTAAACAGAATAAGAAGGGAAAGGTGGGTGTGGCTGGATGATCACACTTCTGGTAACATGGGGGTGTGGCCTAATGTGCTAATGAGCTGTGCTGTCAGGGTGTGGCCTAATATGCTAATGAGTTTTGCTGTTGGGTGTGGCCTATTATGCTAATGAGTTCCTGCTGGGCTTTTTCTAGAAAAAGAGCCCTGGTATGGATAATATTGTTAGATGTCTTCCTGGATGGACTCTGGTACTTTGGAAGGGCCTGTGATGGAAAACTTTTTTTTACCCACCTGGCAAGTCCGTTCATACTTGCACCTATGAACTGCAATATCTTACATATTATGATCAGTATCAGGAGGGATGCTAGAGGGATGGCAACCTGCAACACCTGTATCATGAGACTGTACGGGAACTGCCAGCTAGGGAATGAGGCCTCCATATGATGGAGCTGTTAGGCTATGTCTGCAATACAGTTTTCTCCCTTTCTGTGGTTACATGTATTGTATCTGGTTGTGCATTTCTTCCAGTATTAAAAGATCATCCAACATCTGCAAGTGGTTGGCTCCTCTGAGGCCCTAGGGACATGTGGTTTTGTTTCCATTCTCATCGATCCTCTACGTGTTTCAACAGAAAAAATATATCTTTTGCAATTCCACATGTATCTGTATGAATCATAACTATGTGTAAATTTGTTCTGCATATCTCTGTTATGTTAAATCATGAAAGCTATCCTGGCTTATCAAGCATATTTACACAAATGTTCCAATTGCCTTTGTACCAGAGCAAGTGGACAGAAAGGGAAGGGGGGGACAGAAATGTTCAGAAACACCAGGTAGATTCTACCTGCTGTTGAGAGTCCTTAGCATTAATCTGTATGCCTTTTGTACATATACACTTCTTTAACAAGATAAGAGAAAGTAGGGACATCTATGCAGACTGAAATCTTTTCATAGAATAGACTCATAGAGTTGGAAGGGGCCTAGCAGACCATCTAGTCCAGCCCCCTGCCCAATGCAGGACCAGCCTAAAGCATCTCTGACAAATATTCATCCAACCTCTTCTTGAAAGCTGCCACTGAAGGGGAGCTTACCACCTCCCTAGGCAGCTGGTTCCACTTTTGAACCACTCTGACTGTGAAAAGGTTTTTCCTAATAATATCCAGACAGCATAAGTTAGGTAGATGCATTCTATGGTGTCCCTCAAATAATCACCAAGCCATAAAAGTCCCACATAGACAAGACTTTACAGATTTAAGACCACCCTGGAGCAGTTTGTCTTTAGCATTCCACTACTGTGATATGTACTCCTGCCAACCTAACTGTTCGAAAGCAAGAAATTGCAAGTAGATAAATAGGTGCCACTTCGGTGGAAAGGTAACCGCATTCCGTGCATCTCAGCGTTTAGTCAGGCCGACCACATGACCACAGAAACATCTTCGGACAGTGCTGGCCCTTTGGCTTGGAAACTGAGATGAGCACAACCCCTAGGATCAGATCGACAAGCTTTCAAGCAAGGGAAACTTTTACCTTTATTTACTGTGATATGTAGGATGTACAAACAAGTTGTTTCTAATACATGCATGTGCAGGTTCCACTGCATAGAAACATCACACGACTGGAAGTACAAGAAGCAATCCAAAGGAGAAGAAGCAGCTATCTGGAGAAGCAGAGTATAAAGAAAGTGTCACAGAATCTTATATTTCATGCTCTCCTCATATGAATTGTTGCACTTTAGCACTGGGGTTCCCCTCATTTGCTTTCTGAGCAAGCTGTTCACACAAAACATGTGGCTTCTCAATCTCATATATGATGAACAACCTTATCCAAAATCTCCCAAAATGTTCCATACAAACCATTAACATTAGAGGTCATATCTTTGACTACAATTCAGCACAAGGAGCTCAAGTAAATTGAATAAATAGAAATAAGCATGCTTAATTCTGTACTAGTTTACATTTTTCCCTTTGTTTAGAAATGCAGCCTCAAGGTGGCCATCACAGTGACATAAAAACATTCCTATCGTGATGGTGAAACCATAAGGGAACGTTTATGCAACAAAAACTCATAATTCTGAACGTCTGTGATCTGTAAGAATAAATGTCAAGTCATCTTAATGAAAGAGTGAATAATTGTAAAGTGAAATGGGTTTTGGTTCCATCACAGATGGAAACAGCAACACAAACTTAAATATAATCAAGTTTTAATCTTGCTTTTCCAAGTCTAATTAATTTCTGGTGGAATGTAATGCTACAGCAGCTGCTTTACAGCATAAATTTAAAAATGAGGATTCTAAGTACTCTGCAGCAGATCAGAAACTGAAATGCAGTTTTATTTCATTTTTTCCCAAAACACGAATCAACTTGCTTCAAAGGATCCTAGTCCCCACAAGGAAAAATATCTTTTGGCTCCATTAATATATGACCCTGATAAAAAGAAATCATGAATTTATAGCTCCTGGGTATGTTATATCTAGCTGCAACAAAGAGGGAGAGGATTGAAGAACTTTACGTATGTGAAACTTAGATCAAGAGGGTATGGAAGGATTTTCTTCTCAGTATCTCAGAGCGGGTAGCAGTTGTCTGGAATATTTAGTGGCCCAAGCTAAGAGTGGAGATACCTGAAAAAGGACTTATGATAGGTGGATAGATAAACCCTTCACCTGAACCTGCTGGTTTATGGAGACTTCTGAGATCATGATGCATAATAAGAATTTCACCAGGCATGTTGGTGCTGGAAAGTTATCACAGGGCTCCAAGGTGGCTGGCCTGGGACCTGCACCCCTTTACCAGTTGTGAGCAAATAAAGCTACACTAGGCATAGTTTATAGGAAATAGAACTCAGCCCAGACAATGGATTATATAAAGCTGCAATTCTGTGAACCTTTTTGACTTTGATGCAATTTGAGTGGAGAGAATGGGACGTGCTTCCTGTTCCCCATCCTTCTCCATCTCATCTGAAATCAATCTTGCTCTTCTCCCCACTGGGAGATCAATTTCTCAAGAAGCACATGGAACAGGAAGCACAAATCAATTTCCCACCCTCTGCTCCCCTCCCCCAATTTTTTTATCATGGCTGAAATGACACGGAGATAAAATTCAAGGGTGGGGGGGGGAAAGAATACTGCATTCCATATAGAGAAGCTGTTAGGAATAAAGTCTCACATTGCCTTGTGCAAACTGACTTTTCTCCATAATGAGCATTTGGGGCTTTGGTCCTGCAGATTTAACTACCGTCTTAACTATAATTATTTATAGGAATGCAGCAGTCCCCCAGAACTGCAACTAACTGTGTGTCTATGTATAACAAAAGCAATGGAAATTATTCTCAACTAACTTTAAGGCTTTGATCAAGACAGTTGCATGTTCTGTCTGTTTAATGATATGAAATACTGAGGACTTGTTTGATGGTTATATTTTATTTGAAAATCCTTTATATTTGTAGCCATTAGCATCTTGTTCTTTACTCTCCAAGAGGAACCACTAATTACCCACCTACACATGTGTGTGTAAAGTGCCATCAAATCACAGCTGACTCATGGCGATCCCATAGGGTTTTCAAGGCAAGAGATGTTCAGAAGTAGTTTGCCATTGCCTGCCCCTGTGTTTGCAGCAACCCTGGACTTCTTTGCTGGTCTCCCATCCAAGTATTAACCAGGGCTTACTCTGCTTAGCATTTGAGATCTGACAAAATCAGGCCAGTCTGGGCCATTCAGGACATACACAACTTCAGTGGCTTCCTTCCAACCATACTGTGAGTATTTCTTTCTGACATTGTCCCATTTGTCTCATCCAGCTGTGGTTTGTACACCATGCAACTGACACCCAGTTAAAGATTCAGACTGGAGTGGGGAGATGTAACTCTTCCATAAACCTTCCTCAGCAATCTTGGACCAGTCAGTCTTGCTCAGCCTAACCTACCTCACGTGGATGTTGTGAACATAACAAAGAGAGGAGAAAAACAGGTATCCCACTCTGACCTCCCTGAAGGAAAGGCAGAAAATGTAAGAGGTACAGGTTTGTATGTGGAGGCTGTGCCCATAAAAGCAGTGCTTATCACATAGACTTGGGTCCTCACTTTCCATTTACAGAAGGCACATCTGCTGCAGAAAAAGGGCTCAACTTTTAATGATTTCTCTATTACACAGCGTATTCCTTTTTGCCTTTTTGCCCAGTGCTATTCTGGGGGGTCCACTAACCCCTAAGAGT